TACGAACTTGGTGGCGGGTCGTGCGCTCCAGGACGGGTGTCCACCAGTTCACCCCTGCCTACGAGTGCGTGACACACTGCACGTGTGCTCGGACGGGTCGCCACCTGGCTACCTTCACTCGACAGCCGGGGTCGGACCTGTACACACTGACCACTGAGTCCCCTCAGGTAGCTGCGTCTGCGTCTGCGTCAGGTCAGCTGTCTGCCCCCTGCTCGTGTCGCTCCCTGGCGCACGAGACCGTCCTCTGGCACCACCGCCTTGGTCACCCGTCAGTGCAGCGCCTTCGTGGCATGCACTCCCGGTACCTTGTCTCTGGTCTTCCCAGGGTTCTCCCTCCCCTCCCGCCCTCGCCTGCTCCTCCTTGTCTTCCCTGTGTCGAGGGGCGGCAGCGCGCCGCTCCTCACTCCTCCTCGTTTCCCCCGACGACTGCTCCCCTGCAGACGCTCCACATGGACGTGTGGGGCCCAGCCCGCGTTCGTGGACAGGGTCACGAGAGGTACTTCTTGATAGTTGTTGACGACTACTCGTGCTACACCACGGTCTTTCCCTTGCGCACCAAGGGTGAAGTCCCTGATGTTTTGATCCCTTGGATCCGCGCTGCCCGTCTCCAGCTCAGCGAGAGGTTCCACTCGGACTTTCCTGTCCTGCGTCTGCACTCTGACAGAGGTGGGGAGTTTTCCTCCGACCTCTTGAGGGCCTTCTGTCAGGGGGAGGGCATTGAGCAGTCGTTCACGCTTCCGGCCTCTCCACAGCAGAATGGGGTTGCTGAGCGCCGCATTGGCTTGGTCATGGAGGTCGCTCGTACCTCCTTGATCCATGCGGCTGCCCCCCACTTTCTGTGGCCGTTTGCGGTCCGATACGCTGCGCATCAGCTCAACCTCTGGCCCCGTGTCTCCGTTCCGGAGACTTCACCGACACTGCGTTGGACGGGAGAGGTTGGCGATGCGTCGCGTTTCCGGGTCTGGGGATCTCGAGCTTTTGTTCGCGATACGTCTGCGGACAAGCTCTCCTCCCGTGCTGTTCCTTGTGTCTTCCTTGGCTTTGTCCCGGACGCGTCTGGTTGACAGTTTTACCACGCCACCTCGCGCCGTGTCCTGCCCTCTCAGGACGTCACTTTCGACGAGTCGGTCCCCTACTACCGCCTCTTCCCCTACCGCACTGCCCCGCTCCCCCCCCCGCCTCTCTTCCTCGCACCAGGTGCTGCTGTGGTAGACCCCCTCCCCCCTCAGGGTGCCGCTCCCTCAGGTGTGTCCCAGGTAGACCCGGTTGAGCCTGTCGAGGTAGCTGTCGACTCTCGTCCTGCTAGGGGTGCTGAGCCTGAGCGTGCGGAGCCTGGGGGTGCTGAGCCTGGGGGTGCGGAGCCTGGGGGTGCGGAGCCTGGGGGTGCGGAGCCTGGGGGTGCTGAGCCTGGGGGTGCGGAGCCTGCGGGTATGGAGTCTGGGGGTGCTGAGTCTGGGGGTGCTGAGTCTGGGGGTGCTGAGCCTGAGAGTGCTACGTCTGAGGGTACTCAGCCAGAGGGTGCTGCGACTGACCGTGCTGCGCCTGGAGGCGCTCCCTCCTCACAGCAGCTGCGGGAGTGGTACTCGCAGTACTGCAGCCTCAGGAGAGGCGCTTCTGGAGCTAGGGGTGCTGCTGGAGCTGGTACTCGTGTTTCCCCTCCTAGGCGGGAGCTGCCCTCTCCCCAGCGGCTCCGAGAGTGGTACTCTCGGCGCTGCAGTCTTCGGAGTGGCACTACTGGTGTCGCGGACCCTGGAGCTGGAGCTGGTGCTGGTGCTGGCGCTGCTGAAGTTGGAGCTGCTGGAGGCGCTGGCGCTGCTGGAGGTGCTGCTGGTGCTGGAGCTACTGGAGGTTCTGCTAGTGCTGGAGCTGCTGGAGCTGCTGGCGCTGCTGGAGGTGCTGCTGGTGCTGGAGGTGCTGCTGGTGCTGGCGCTGCTGGAGGTGCTGCTGGTGCTGGAGCTGCTGGAGGTGCTGCTGGAGGTACTGCTGGTGCTGGAGCTGCTGGAGGTGCTTCTGGTGCTGGTGCTAATGGAGGTGCTGCTGGTGGTGCTGCTGGAGGTGCTGTTGGTGCTGGAGCTGCTGGAGGCACTGCTGCTGCTGGAGGTACTGCTGGTGCTGGCGCTGCTGGAGGTGCTGCTGGTGCTGGAGCTACTGGAGGTTCTGCTGGTGCTGGAGCTGCTGGAGCTGCTGAGCGGCCGCGGCCGTACTACGTTCCGCTCCTTCAGCAGGTTCTTGGCCTCCCGCCCTCTCCTGGTCCTACTCCTCCCCTACTGAGTCCACCGCCTGTCCAGTCGCAGTCACAGTTACAGCCAGCCTCTCCGCTGCCTGGTCCCTCTCCTTACACTGCGCCGACGAGTAGTCTTACGGAGCGTCGTGAGCCTGAGTCTCGTCCTCCGTCGCCTGAGTCTCGTCCAGAGTCGCCTGAGTCGCGTCCAGAGTCGCCTTTCCGCGCTGTCCGCACTGGTCGTCGTGCTCCGCGTCAGCGTCCTCCTCCTGTCCTTGGCACTCACTATATGACCCTGCGTCCTTCCACTGCTCCACAGCGTGTCCCTCTGCCGTCTCCTCCTGCGTCCTCTCTTCCTGACGGTCCGGACCCGGAGTCTGACTCCCTTCGTGCTGCTAGTCCTACTGTCACGCGTTTCCTCGCCACTGTTGTCACTGACCCTACCTTTGAGTCCTCTGCTGCGTCTGCTCTTGTCGCTGAGCTTGTTGACTTTGCTGCCGCCTGTCGTCTAGACTACGCCGCTAGCCTTGTTGTTGAGTCTGAGTCTGAGTCTGTCTGTCCTCCGTCCGTCGGGGGTGAGTGTGCTCTTGGCACGGACGTCCTCGAGGACAGACAGGAGGAGTTTGAGTGCTTTGCCGCTGCTTTACCTCATCTCGTGTCCATGCTGATTGCCCCTGAGGGAGACCCGGATGCACCAGACATCCCGACCCCACGCTCTTACGCAGAGGCGATGGAGGGTCCCTACTCCTCTCAGTGGCAGACAGCCATGGACGCAGAGATGGCTTCCTGGAAGTCCACAGGCACCTACGTCGACGAGGTTACCCCACCTGGGGCGAACATCGTCAGTGGCATGTGGATTTTCAGGGTGAAGCGGCCGCCGGGTTCTCCGCCTGTCTTCAAGGCGCGTTACGTTGCACGAGGCTTCAGTCAGCGAGAGGGAGTTGACTTCTTCCATACCTTCTCCCCTACCCCGAAGATGACCACTCTTCGGGTTCTGCTGCACGTCGCCGCTCAGCGTGACTACGAGCTCCACTCTCTTGACTTCAGCACTGCTTTCCTATAGGGCAGCCTGCACGAGGAGATCTGGCTGCGCCGCCCACCTGGCTTCACTGGGTCGTTCCCTCCTGGTACCCAGTGGAGCCTCCGGCGGCCAGTCTACGGTCTCCGCCAGGCACCCCGTGAGTGGCACGACACACTGAGGACGACTCTTGCTGCTCTTGGGTTTGCTCCTTCTACTGCTGACCCGTCGCTGTTTCTACGCACCGACACCACTCTGCCGCCGTTCAACGTTCTCGTGTACGTAGACGACTTGGTCTTTGCTACTGCTGACACTGAGGCACTCGCCCACGTGAAGTCGGAGCTGCAGAAGAGACACACGTGCACAGACCTGGGTGAACTGACAAGCTATCTTGGCTTGCGGATCACCCGGGACAGAGCACAGCGCACCATCACCTTGACTCAGTCACACATGGTGCAGCAGGTCCTTCAGCGCTTCCGCTTCACGTACTCCTCGCCTCAGCCCACTCCTCTGCCTACTGGTCACTCGCTCTCAGCTCTGCCTTCGGATGAGTCCGTAGAGCCGAGTGGCCCGTATCCAGAGCTTGTGGGCTGCCTCATGTACCTGATGACCTGCACTCGACCTGACCTTGCATACCCTCTTAGCATCCTAGCACGCTATGTCGCTCCTGGCCGTCACCGGAAGGAGCACATGGATGCCGCTAAGAGGGTGTTGCGCTACTTGTGCAGTACGTCGGGCATGGGGCTTGTGCTTGGAGGACGGAGAGACGTTGTCCTCACTGGGCACTCAGACGCTTCTTGGGCTGACGACCAGGCTACGCAGCGGTCGTCTCAGGGTTACACCTTCAGCCTTGGCTGTGGTTCAGTTTCTTGGCGTTCTACTCGCTCGTCTTCAGTTCTCAGCTCCAGTTGTGAGGCTGAGATCTACGCCACAGCCATGGCTGCACAGGAGTTACGCTGGCTCACCTACCTGCTGACCGGCCTGGGAGAGCGGCCTCGTTCTCCTCCAGTGCTGTACGTCGACAACAAGGCCGCCATTGCCTTATGTCAGGAGCACAGACTGGAGCACAGAACGAAGCACATCGCTCTGCGCTACTTCCTTGCTCGAGAGCTGCAGCAGCGTGGTCAGCTTCGTCTTGCTTACGTGGCCACTCGGGCCAACACTGCTGATGTGTTCACCAAGGCGCTTCAGCCTTGTGACCATCAGCGTTTCTGTACTGTTCTAGGCCTTGTGCCTACTGTGCCTCACTTGCTCACTTCTTGACTCTGCTTGTACTGTGATCTCTGTATATATATATAGACCTGCATGCTTACACTTGCTAGGTTGTGATCACTGTACCTCTTGTTATATTATCAAACTGCATGTGAACTGGTCTTGTGACCGCTTGCTTGTGCTCGGAATTTGTGTGGTTTCCTTGAGATCCACCCTGAGCTTGCTTTGCTTTGCTTTGACTGGTCTTGTGACCATCTGGTTGTCTCCCACTTAGCCTATGGGGGTGTGTCAAACATTATACATGTTCCTATTGTGTAGGCTATAGTGGGTTTAGCCTTAGGGGGTACAACATTGCTAGGGTTTCCTACTTGTATCACCCTGCTGCCTAGTTTCATCATTCTCGTTCACTTCTAGATTCTAACAAGCACGACGGGCACGGGCGGGCGCGGCAATAGGCGCGGCAGTAAGCGCGGCGCGCGGGCGCAAAGGCAGGCGCGGCGGGCGCTAAGGGCAGGCGCAGCGGGCGCGTAGGACAGGCGCGGCGGGCGCTTAGGACGGGACGCACGGGACGAGCGGGACGCGCGGGACGGGACGGGACGCGCGGGACGCACGGGACGCGCGGGACGGGACGGGGCGCGCGGGACGCACGGGACGCGCGGGATGGGACGGGACGCGCGGGACAGGACGGGACGCGCGGGACGGGACGGGCGCACGGGACGGGACGGGACGCGCGGGACGGGACGGGCGCACAGGACGGGACGGGCGCACGGGGCGCGACGGACGGGCAGGGCGCAGCGGGGGCGCGACGGACGGGCAGGGACGCGACGCGACGCAGCGGGGGGCGACACGACGGGACAGGACGCGACTGGCAGGCGCAGCGGGCGCTAGGGCACGAGAGAGACGAGCGGGATAGGCGCTAAGGGACAGTACAGGCGTAACGGGCACTAGGGTACGGGGCAGGCTCGGGCGCTACGGACGTGAACGAGAGGAACGGGATCCCACGGGATCCTAACCTAGCTGATACCATGTCAGAAACTGAATTGTGTGTGCATTGATGTGGGTTGGGGTACATATGCCTAACCCTAACATTTGTACCCCATAAGACAAGCCTCACTACAGGCTACAACATTTGACACGGGACAGCTGGAGGACGAGGACGACGAGCGCGACTGACAGTGCGAAAAGTAGCATCTCTTACCCTCTACCGTATAACCTACCCTAGCCTACAATGTACACTTTACAAATGCATAAGTGTACGTCGACATCAAGACCATGCTTAGTGGCCATGTGTGAACACCGGCAATTTGACAGAGAACATCTGTTCTTGCTCTGCTCTGTTCAACAAGTCTGCTTTCTGTAGCAGTGACACATGACAAGTCAATGTGGCACTCCATGCAGCCCCTATATTCACAAGGCAGATGTAAACTTTACACTGCTTGTGCAAGGTAAAAACACCTTCATATTGGAAAATCAATGTACAAACTAACAATCACCCTGGGAATATGTGCAGGACATTCTACCCGAACCTGTAATTTGACAGGAAACGCAGGCCAGTCATGTTTGCTGGGGCCTGGACGCCTTGTCTCCTTCAACGACTGTACGAGCGTTCAACCGCATGCGGATCACGATGGCACGAGTGTGTATGGCGAGGTGTGCAGTGTGTCAATAGCAGTTGCAGTGTGTCAATACCAGTGGCCATTGGGCCTCTTAGGCAGCCACCCTGCTATGCGACTCTGGTAGAAGTCCCAATGCCTCGTGTCTGCTCAGGACACAGGACGCCCAGAGACAAGGAGATGTCATGTGGAGAGAAGAGAAGGAGGAGAAACAGTGAAGAAGGACAAGCAGCAAGCATGGTACTGCTGGCATTCCAGTGAATCCTGAGGCTCAAACTGCTGTGCTCTGGCATGTGCTTACTTGGCTTGTTGATTTTGAAGGACCAGAAGAACCAGCCGGCCTTGGCGGTGGCGAGGGTCTGCATCTGGGAAAGGGAGAAGGCGGACTGCTCGTCGGGCGTGACAGGGCTGTACCCCATGGCGTTGGAGAACTCCCCCACCAGCAGCATGCGCCCGTACTGCCCTCGCGCATTGCACACACACACACACGCCAGGGAAATGGCAGGGGCACAGCAGGGGCAAGATGATTGGTGGCAGGGGCGAACGGGGGCGGGGGAAGTGCTTGAATTTCACGACTAGCAGCATGCTTTGTACAGGAGGAACGGAGCAGGCATGAGTAAGTACGTGCACGGGTCACACGGCACACTGCTGTTGCAATGTAAGTACCTGCTGGTGCTCCGCTATTCTGTCCTTCCTGGACGTCTGCATCTCGTAGATCTCCTGCTGTGCGGACGTGTACCCATCGGTGTTGAACACGTCGTAGATGTGCGTCTCAAGAATGACGTTGGGCTCATTCGCCATGAGAGACTGCACCTCGTCGGGCCCCGTGCGCCCCTCCATGGCGATGTACACACACGGGTTCCACCTCCGCAGGATGGCCGTTGCGTTCACGTAGTAGCTCTGGAGGGAGGGGGAGAGTGGCGAGCGGGGAGAGGCACCAAGGGAGGGGGCAAAGGAGGGAGAGTTGGGGCTATGCGTGGTGGTGTCGTGCTGGATGGCTGACTTGTAAATCATGCATTCCTCCTCCTCATCGCTACATGCCCCGCCTTTTGTTGTGGCTTCCGCACGCGCCCATGGCCCACCACTCCCACTCACAACACGCCGTAGGAACACCAGTGCAACCAGCACCACGTGCTCACTAACCACACCACAACCGCATCACCCCTCCCCACTCCTGACCCCCCCTCGCCCTCAATCCGTCCCCCCTTTAAGTACCTGGAGCAGGTCGAGGGGAATGCTGAGGCTGGGCTCGTTCATGAGCCCAATGCCCAGCCACATGGGGTTGCGCCCGTACCGCCGCCCCAGCCACCGAATGGCCTGTAGCGTCTTCACCACGTTGATGGGGCGCGGGAAGTCCACGTACCCCAGGCGCGACCCAAACGTGCCCGACTGCGACCCCGCCACGATGTGCATGCTGAACCAGATGCGGATCTTGTACTTGGCCGCCATCCTGAACGCCCAGTCGATATACGTGTAGCTGCCCCACACGAAGGGCCAGTCGGGGCTGGGCTCCTGCGCCATGTAGTACCCGATGGGGATGCGCACGGCGTTGACGCCCTGGCGTGACATGTAGCGCCAGTCAGGCTCCGTTATGAAGCTCGCCCGTATGCTGTTCACTCGCATGGCGGCCTGCCCGCCCCACTGGTACGCCAGCTGCCAGTCGTACTTCAGCTCCTTCTTCTGCTCCGTGACACGGGTGCACGGGTGGTTGATGATTTGGGGAGTTGGGTTGATGTCCATGATGGGTAGTGAGGGAATGAGAGGCAGCAACAGGTGGTGTAGGAGCGAGGGAAGGAGCGGCATTTGTGGTAATCTGGCAGCAGCGAGGCACGGCAGTGAGAGCTTCCAGCCCGATTACAATGACTGCACCATGCCATGCCATGCCATGCCATGCCATGCCATGCCATGCCATGCCATGCCATGCCATGCCAGTGCAATGCCATGCCATGCAATGCCATGCATTGCCATGCAATGCCATGCACTACCATGCAATGCCATGCCATGCAATGCCATGCAATGCCATGCCATGCCATGCAATGCCATGCCATGCCATGCAATGCCATGCCATGCCATGCAATGCCATGACATGCCGAGCACACGCACTGACACAGCCGGCGCCACGGTGCTGCATGAGCATCCCAGGCGTACCGGTGTGAACTGGAAGGCGGCAGGGCCCTTGAGGAAGGCGGCGTCGTTGAGGCTGACGTTGGCGGGGGGGAAGTTGGCAATGAGCGCTCCGTCCGCCTGCACCTGCAGGTACTGGCCGTTGGGCGCCAGGATGGCCACCATCGTGCGGTCCTTGCGACTGCGCTTGAATGTAAACCGCGTCTGTGCACGCCCAGCACGCCCAGGGAGGGGGGAGGGGGGTTGTGAACGAGGAGGCAGGAGGCAGGGGGGGGAGGATGAGAGCACGAGCTGATGGGGAACTGGAACTTGCTGCAAGGCCATGCGGCACATGGGTGACGAGAGCAGGTAATGGTAGTGAGACCTCGGCACCCCTCCACATGAGGCGTGAAAGGTTCCCCCACTGCAGGGCTGGGAGACTGTGTGGTGCGAGCAGGTGTGGTGTGGTGAGCTGTGCGAGGAGGGCGGGAGCCGTGTCAGACCCGCCTGCCATGCAGTGGCAGTGGTTGTGGTGCGAGGAGGGTAGGGAGCAGGGGGCAGGGGGCACTGACCAGTGCACTGGTTGAGAAGGCGTCGGCGTAGGGAATGGTGGCGCGCGCCGGCAGGCGCCAGAACAGCCGCTCATCTGCCAGCAGCTGCAGGGCCCGTGGGTGGGGGGAATGGGGACGGGGAGGAGGGAGAGGGGAGGGGGGAGGGGAGATGGGGGAGGGGGGAGGGGGAAGAGGAGAGGGGAGAGGGGAGAGGGGAGGAACAGGTCATGCGTGGGTGAGTTGTGCGTGGGCAGGCAGGGAGGGAGGGGAATGGAGGTAAGGAGCGAGGGGGAGGGGCATGGTGGCAATGGGTGCGAGGGTTGTGGAGGAGAGTGGGCTGTGCAGTGGACGAGGGCAGGCATGGTGACGTGGTGGCACATGCACGGCACGGCATGGGAGGCCATGGTGCATGCAGTGAGCCTGTGGCCTACCATCCGACGTTACGTGGGGGAGGGCGGGGGTAACACGATGAGGTACGCCTTGAGAAAGGTGAAGAGGGGAAGGATGGGAAGCAGCGGGAGAGGAGAAGAAGAGAACGGGAGCACGTGGTGAGGGGGAGGGGGGTCGGGGGAGGGGAGGTCGGGGTGGGGCGTACATGGTAGGTGTCCTGGTTGGGCGCCTGGGTCTGCATGATGAACGTCTCATAGTCGCCTCCGGAGTCCGCATCACACCGCAGCTGCCAGCATGGCACGCGGCAGGGGACAGGCAGTTTCAAAAGGAGGCACGGATGACGAGAGAGCGGGGGAGGTGGGTGGAGGTGTGTCCAGAGACGGGAGCATAGAGAGAAAGAGCGGCACATGGAGGTGCACGTGTGCAATGGGGCGGGTGCAGCTGCGTGGTGTGCTTACCCATCCACCTCCTCCTTGCGGTGCAGTGATGTACTTGAGATACTTGTAGTTGAACAGCGTCATCTGCACGCACACACACACGAAGGTTACAGCTCCAGAAAAGGTTGCGCAAGAGTGCAGGGTGATTGCGGCATGCGCCACAGTGCTCGCAAGTCAAGCATGCAATGGGCGGGTTGGGAAGGGCGGGTGTTGGAAAGATGCTCAACAACTGGTGGCTGATGGGCACATCCCGTTGCAGCAGACTGCTCGCAGCACTCAACAACCTCCACTCAACTGCTCCCCAGCGGCACGCAGCATGCAGCACATGGAAAGCAGCGCGTGGCATGCATGGGTGCGAGCAGCGCATGTCGAGTGCCGAGGGCGCCGGGCGGGGAGCAGAACAGAGCAGCGCGGAGCAGATCAGATCAGATCAGATCAGATCAGATAAGAGCAGATTAGAGCAGAGCGAAGCTGAGCAGAGTGGAGCGGAGCAGAGAGGAGCAGAGCGGAGCAGGGAGGAGCAGAGCGGAGCAGAGAGGAGCAGAGCGGAGCAGAGAGGAGCAGAGCGGAGCAGAGAGGAGCAGAGCGGAGCAGAGAGGAGCAGAGCGGAGCAGAGAGGAGCAGAGCGGAGCAGAGAGGAGCAGAGCGGAGCAGAGAGGAGCAGAGCGGAGCAGAGAGGAGCAGAGCGGAGCAGAGAGGAGCAGAGCGGAGCAGAGAGGAGCAGAGCGGAGCAGAGAGGAGCAGAGCGGAGCAGAGAGGAGCAGAGCGGAG